GTTGGTTTCCTCTTTTCTGATCATTTGGAATGAGGATAAAAAGAAAAAAAAGACATGCAAATAAGTTCAAACAACCATTCAATATCTATTATTTCCTGAATATTACTGATGAACAGATCAAAAAGTAGGTTACTGTTCACATGCGTTTTATTATTATATAGTACAGTAATATAGTAATAATTTAGTACTTTCTCCTGTTTTATTGTTGGTTTCCTCTTTTCTGATCATTTGTAATGAGGATAAAAAGACAAAAAAAAACAAATAGGTTCAAACATCAATTCAATATCTATTATTTCCTGAATATTATGACATTCAGGAGGGCCGCCCCCAGATGACGTCATACAATGCAAATTAGGTGAGAATATTTACACCCCACATAAACTTTCAGTCATGCCCAACATTTTTCTAATTTACATTAGATCTCTATCTTTAAGCCCTTTCAAGCTACAAGCTTTTGAAATCTTGATGTCAAAATCCAGCATTTTTCCAAAAAAACCCTGGCGCCTAAAGGGTTAATGGTAGGGAGAGAGAGAGAGCGAGAGAAAGATAGAGAGAGAGAGAGAGAGCGAGAGAGAGAGAGAGAGAGAGAGAGAGAGCGCGCGCAATTCTGTTGTGTGATCTCTGATGTTCACTCACTTAGCAAACACATCATTTGGATTAAAATGAAATCGTAAAAATAAGACCATTTATAGGGGCATTCACTATAAACATAATTTATTTTCAACCTTAGGCATACACGACTTTCTGGCGAAAGTGAATCTAGCAGCCTGTGTGAAATGTGTTAGGCTGTACTATTCTGCATCAGTTCAAATACGTGCACGCGTTGTGCGTGTTTTGCTTGCTTGAGTGTTTCTGCATTATATGAGTGGCGTTGGAATATAAATCACAGCACGTTTCAGATGAAAAAACGCGACTTCTATATCTGAAAATATCAGTTAGGAGATTTATAACGAGTGGTTCCCTGCATTATTACAGCAAAGCGCGTGATTACAGTACTAAGCCGCTGCAATGGAGCAGGTTTCAGATGAAAAAAACGCGACTTCTATTTCTGAAAATATCACAGTTAGGAGATTTATAACGAGTGGTTCCCTGCATTATTACAGCAAAGCGCGTGATTACAGTACTAAGCCGCTGCAATGGAGCAGCTCTAATGCTATTAAATTAAAGATGATGTACCATAGAGCAAAACAATGAACAGTGAAAGTAACAAAAACTTGTAAAATACATTTTAATAAGCATAATTAAGTGTAAAAATAACCGAAGGATCTACAGTCAAACCAAAAATTATTCAGAGAGCAGATATAATTTTTTATATTTTTTTTACTAGTGGGTGCAGGACACTATAGTTCATTTATGTAAGTGAGGATAGCAAGATAAAGTAAACTGTGACAAATCATACCCAAAAATTCTTCATACAGTGGACTACCAGTAAAACTGATACAAATTTGGGTTTAAAAATTATTCAGACCGAGTCTGGGGAAAAAATTGAAGTTCAGGTTTGCATGAAGCTGGGTGACAGCATGCCCAGGAGACTACAGGCTGTCATTGAGGCTAAGGGTCACCCGACAAAGTATTGACAGTTCTGTAAATACTTTCATACTAACAGCTGTCTGAATAATTTTTGGTTGATTGTAATCTATTACATACCTTTCTATCAAAATTATCTAACATTATCAAGATTAATTTGTTCTGACACAGTTTAACTCTGAGTTCTTGTCATATTTTATTACCATTTTCTAAACTATAACGAATAAACTGATAATGTGAGAAATGTTGAAGGTGTCTGAATGAATTTTGGTTTGACTGTATCTATTTGATAAATTAACTTAACCAACTAACATTATACATACCCTTTTGGTTTCTGTACCCAATATTTAAAAAATGTACAAATGCAATAAAAATATCGGTATCGGTACTCTGTATCGGCAAGTACCAAAAATAAAAGTATCGGTATCTGGCGAGTACTGGAAAAAGTGGTATCGGTGCATCCCTACTTTTTACACCAAGGGAAGGGACATTACAGATGGGTAGATTGGGACAGCGGGTCTGAAACGCCTTGGGATGGAACAGATTTAGATTAAAGTA